TTATTATTTTTGTTTTTTTTTTTTTGTATTTTTTGGCTCTAGGATGGTGTGGGTGTCATAAAATCTAAGGTGGAAGTTATTTTTTTCTTTTAGAACCTCTACTTTTTTTATTTTACTTGTTGTTAACTGGAAATGTTGAGGCGACCGGAGAGGGGGGGGATGAAGAGGAAAAAGAGTTTAAGAGGCTGGAATATGTCGACTGCATACTCGAGCCCGGGGAGACGTTGTACATACCCGTGGGGTGGTGGCATTATGTGAGGGGGCTGAGTGTGAGTTTCAGTGTGAGCTTTTGGTGGAATTAATTAGATGGCATAAGTGCTGGGGTGGGTTGTGAATAGATCCAAAACAGGAGGGGCTGTTGATCGATGAGAGAGGAGAGAAGTAGTTTTGTATCAAGGATACCACACAGCGAAACCGCCGCATGAAGCAGCATGTTAGAAGATGACTTCTCAAGTCAATCCCCTTGACAGCATCACCCTCTCCCCCCTCTCTAACCCTTCCATCTTATTCACCATCAGCTTCAACACACTCGCTCCAACATCTCCCGAATGCTGTCAAAAACAAAACAAGGCGATTTCGATATCGGTCATATCTGATGGTAGTACACTGTATTGCATAATGTTACAAAAGATCCCTCCATCAGCTCGTCACTTCCCCCAACTTCAAGATCTTTATTTTTCGTTCCCTTCATTCACATCATTGGGTATCTGTTTTCCCTTTTTTTCTTCTCCCACCATTCCCCATTCCCCATTCCCCCCTCAATCCCCCCTTCTATTCCCTCCCCGCGGCGCCTTAAGCATTATTCTGCTCATTAATCTTTGCCAAAATCTCGCTATCCCTGAAAAGGTGATACTCCTCATCCCCAACCTTGACAGGAGAACCGCCATACTATTTGTCCCGTTAGCCCCCATCCCACACCCCTTTTTTGTCTTCGCAACACTCACCTGAGGGATCAAAACCCTATCCCCAGCCGCACACCCCATAGGCACCCTCTTCCCATCCTTGTCGAGCCCGCCCGGCCCAACAGCCAAAACCTTGGCCTCGTTGAGCTCCTTGACGGCCGTCTCAGGAAGAAAGATGCCCCCGGCAGTCTTGGCCTCGGCCTTGACGCGCTGCACGAGGACGCGGTCGAGGAGGGGGACGAGGGACTTGATCGAGCGGAGGGAGGTGGCCTTTTCCAACAGCGTTAGCAAAACTTGGAGTTTTGAGGAAGCTATGGGTAGCGGGGGTGGTGATGGCGTAATGCTCAACGTACCATTTTGTCTGGACTTATGGTAGCTAACCGGCTGGCTGGCTATGTGCAGTTCGAAAGGTCGAGGATAGGTAGTTGACGGGAGCGAGGTTATTCGTAAACTTCGAATTTGTGTTTGGAGAAGAGAGGGGAGGGAAGCTTTTCAATTGCCACAACTGTCGTCAATCAACAATTCTCCACACACACAAGCGTTGCTGATGCGGGTCGGGGGAAGGAGAGCTTTCTAGAATTGTCCCCTCCTAATATTTTTTCCAACCGGGGGGCAGGGGGGGCCCTTGCGCCTGCTCCGACCGACCGATTTCCTACCTCCGGCTACAGCCGAAAAACTGGGCCGGCCTAGTCCAATCCCTCACCTCCCATTGGTTGTTAAGCCCCCGTAGCAAACCAAAACTGTGGGGTTACACCCAAACCGTGTAAGTGACCAGCCAGTGACCAGCCTCACCTCAACGTCACTCCCATCTTCACCACAGCAACAACACTAACAAAACACACATACATACTATGTAGGTATTCATATATTCATCTCTCTCTTCCCCTCT